AGGACATAGTCTTAAATTAGAGGGACAAAGGTTTAAAAATAATATCAGGAAGTATTACTTTACTGAGAGGGTAGTGGATGCATGGAATAGCCTTCCAGCTGAAGTGGTAGAGGTTAACACAGTAAAGGAGTTTAAGCATGCATGGGATAGGCATAAGGCTATCCTATCTATAAGATAAGGCTAGGGACTAATGAAAGTTTTTAGAAAATTGGGCAGACTAGATGGGCCGAATGGTTCTTATCTGCCGTCACATTCTATGTTTCTATGTTTCTATGTTTACTTGGACCCATTCTCGTTAATATTTTTATTTGTGATATTGCAGAAGGTCTTGATGGTAAGGTATGTCTTTTTGCTGATGATACTAAGATATGTAACAGGGTTGATGTTCCAGGAGGGATAAGCCAAATGGCAAATGATTTAGTTAAACTAGAAAAATGGTCAGAGTTGTGGCAACTGACATTTAATGTGGATAAGTGCAAGATAATGCATCTTGGACGTAAAAACCCAAGGGCAGAGTACAGAATATTTGATAGAGTCCTAACCTCAACATATGAGGAAAGGGATTTAGGGGTGATTATTTCTGATGACTTAAAGGTAGGCAGACAATGTAATAGAGCAGCAGGAAATGATAGCAGAATGCTTGGTTGTATAGGGAGAGGTATTAGCAGTAGAAAGAGGGAAGTGCTCATGCCATTGTACAGAACACTGGTGAGACCTCACTTGGAGTATTGTACGCAGTACTGGAGACCGTATCTTCAGAAGGATATTGATACCTTAGAGAGTTCAGAGAAGGGCTACTAAACTGGTTCATGGATTGCAGGATAAAACTTACCAGGAAAGGTTAAAGGATCTTAACATGTATAGCTTGGAGGAAAGACGAGACAGGGGGGATATGATAGAAACATTTAAATACATGAAGGGAATCAACACAGTAAAGGAGGAGACTATTTTTAAAAGAAGAAAAACTACCACAAGAGGACATAGTCTTAAATTAGAGAGGCAAAGATTTAAAAATAATATCAGGAAGTATTACTTAACTGAGAAGGTAGTGGATGCATGGAATAGCCTTCCAGCTGAGTGGTAGAGGTAAACACAGTAAAGGAGTTTAAGCATGCGTGGGATAGGCACAAGGCTATTCTAACTATAAGATAAGGCCAGGGACTAATGAAAGTATTTCGAAAATTGGGCAGACTAGATGGGTTCTTATCTGCCGTCACATTCTATGTTTCTATGTTTCTATAAATCTTCATTCAATCTAATATCTTTTAAGAGATCTATGGCAATATACCTCAGCACAGAATGCACCTGTCATGGTTGAATATATTTATTACCTGTTATGTGTTAAATTCAAATATGTGTGTGTGTATATATATATATATATATATATATATATATATATATATATATATAGGTTGTATATTGTATTTTTTGTAATATTGTATCCTATTGTAACAATGCAATGTTTTGTGGACAAAGACCAAGGACATACTTGAAAACGAGAGAAATCTCAATGTATCCATCCTGGCAAAATATTTTATAAATAAATATGCTGTTGATTCATGGCATTAAGTCAATGAAACCAATATTTTCAATGCTAAGTATATTAATGATTTTTTTTAATACTTTTTCAAAAATGTATGTTATTCAAAGTAATGTTATTTATCAGCATTTAGCTTCTGATATTAAATGGATTTGAACCAAAAAAAGGCTTATCATAGCACATCATAGGTCCATCAGTGTGAGTCTTTTAACACAAAATCAGCTGCTCTTCAAATATATCCTAAGGAACTCCAATTAAATGTATGTAGTACTATGAGCACTGAATGCACCTGCATGGCTCCTTCACCTTGACTGCTGCCGACAATTCTAACCTACTACCACAGATGACACTGCCAACTTTTCCATTGTTGATAAGCCAGCGGCCACAGCTTTATTAATATTTAATAAACCAGCAATAACATTAAACCAGTCGGCTGTTGGGCTGAATTACAGATAACCTAACACTTGCCAAGAGCCCGAGCAGTCTGCCACTTGCAGACTACAACTCCCCACTTTGGATCAGGCAACTGAGCTGATCTTTTCCTTGCGCTGGATGAGGATACCATAGGTGCTTTAAAACAAGAGGGAGACACAGAGGTAGGGCCACTAAAATGTGATCTAACTGACTGACAAACGACACCGCTATACTCTCCAATAACCAAAACGTATCCCAAATCTAAGCCCAGCCTTACTAGCTGTGAGCAGCAGTCATGCTCCCCCTTCTTTACTTTCCAAGGGGAATCCTTACTTGTAGTTTTAATTTGTTTTCTACATTATTAACATGTAAAGGAATTCCAAACTCTACCAATATTTGGAACTCCTATTAAGTGTGGCACACTGACTTGTTTACCGGTGGAACTGACTTAGAAGCAAACTGAACTGAATTTCTCTTAATTAGCTCTAAATACGTATATTCACCCAGGTGTGTACTACTTTCAGGAAATTACTGAGAGAGTAAAATTCACAAGATTTAAATACATTAAAAAAAAAAGTACAGGGTTAAACTCAAGTAGTTACAAAAACATTTACTAATGATTGGGATTAATTAGCATGCACTCCAAAAATATCCATGGTAACAGTTCAGGACAAAGCTGTCTTGTCCTTGAGCTAAAGAAACCGTTTCAATATAATATCCTGTAGATAAATTCAACTTTCCTATGTCTCAGGTTTTCTTCTAGGCTACCCTGTAGAATGCAGAATATTTAGGTTACTTTCTATATTTTATGATAAATACATGTAAATCTGTTTTTAAAAAGTGTAAATGAATAAACATAGCTGAAAACATACATGCATAATTAGTAAGGAATAATGCTACATAGGTTAAAGGGACACTATAGGCACCCACTTAACGCTGTTAGGCAACTTTTGTTTGCATAACTGATATTGTAAGTCCTCACACTATGCATGGGTCGTTCAGTGTCACCCAAAACCCCATAGGAAAACATTGTATAATGCTTCCCTGTGGGGAAATCCTAATCCAATCTCGGTCATTGCCGTGCGTGCGCATTAGGTTACACCTGTCAATTAACGGAGCGGAGGCAGACCTGAGCTAGCGCTCGACCCAGGTAAGTGACAGAGGTAAATAGATGCTAAATTCTCTATACAGGATACCCTCCATTGAATTATAATGCATCTGTTATTGGTTGTCTTAACATCATATTACAAGTAAGTTAGTAGCTGCATGTCCAGCTGTTTCCACCTGACATGTCTCTTTTAATAAGAATAGTTAGACTTTGAAAAAAATCAGTTACCATTTGGTTTTCCTTTTTTTTTGTAAACATATTTAAGGAGAGAAAACCAATATTGATCAGTTTACTTAAAGCCTTTGGTACATTTGGAGAGTAGAAAACAAACTACGTCATTTATACCTAGGAATGTGCTGGAATGTTTATTTTACCAAAGCATATTTTTTCGATAGTGTTGCCACTACTGAACATCTCTGCCACACATGATTAAAGGGAGACAACTTGACCACTTCTCCTCCAACAAGCAGTGTTCCATCTGGATATTGCGATATATCCTGACAGCTACATCTGACTCACTATTAGCTCTCAGCACACAGTGTACACAGGGTTAAAACAGCAGGATACTGATACACTTCTTATTGCCTTTGCAGCTGGCAGTATACTTAATTTGCAATGGTAATAACAGAATCAACAATCATTACATCTTAAAGCAAATTGAAATCAGAATCAGATCAGTCATCAGCCCCATTCCTTCCACTTGGAAGCTGCACAACTTTCCAACTAGCCACAGAAAGAGTGTCTCAGGTCTTGTAGAGTGACTGAGCACTCTAAACAAGATGGTGGATATGTACAGTAGGAGTTATTGAAATTATTAGTGATAGGCAGCACAAAGCTCTGTGTCAGAAATGTCCAATTCCCCGTGACACTCATTAGCTTCCCTGGCTTTATATTTCTTTATTTAATTACATTTCCTTGCTTTATCAGCCCTCATGCAGTTACTGGAGCTATTGGTAGAGCAATAAAGAGAATACACTTACATTTGGGATGGGCCCAAAACACCTGCTGCTGTGCTCTCCCTTTGTTAATTCCAAGATGGCTTCTTGCTTCCCTCCTGTGGGCACTATAACCCCACCTCCTGGTGCTATCAGTCAATGATGGCTCATGAATAGAAAGGGCCAATAGGATGCCTCAACTCATGGGCAGCTGAATGGCAACTCAATGGAACCTCCTTCTTAAACGACATAAGGCATGTGCAAAACCTGCTAAAACAGGGCAGATTTTAAGCGCCATTTTTTATATGCCTATATGCCCTCAGGTAAGCTTCTCCAAACAGCTATCAATGAGGGGCGAGGGCGCCTGCATAACTGATACCTATTACAGAATTAAAGAATCTCTAATTTTTTCCTATATTTTTTGACTTACCACCTTCCTCTCCAGAAAAAGGAACTTAATGTTTCTAAACTACTGCAAATAATTTTTTCCCTACATAAAAACTGATGGGGTGCTACTCCAAGTGTCCCTATGGATGAGCCTCCACTGCACTCTGCAAGTAAGTCCCAGGACGGATTGATTAGCTCAGCCATATTAACAGGAATTCGATTCATTTGTAAATCATGTAAAAGGACAGAATAAATTAATTAGGTGACTTGTTTTTTAAGATTGTATTTTAAAGTACCTTTGAACTGGAAACAAGAAATTAGTTAACATGTATTTGTATGACTGAATAATCAACAATTGTTTGCCTTTTATTAAAAAAAAGAATTAGTGTGTGTTCATGAAAAGTGTTTATGCTGAGCAGCTTGATAAATGTAGTGGAGAACTGTTGGTCATAAATCACCACCATTTGATCATATCTCCCCCACTGACATCTGCACTCATTATCACATGAGACTGAAAAGTACATATCCAATGTAAAGTTTGACAATTACTCTGTTCCTGCATAATATACACTGTTATATGTAATAATTGTGTCAACACAAACAAAAAAAAGTCTTTAAAAAAAAGAATACTTTATTTATTTTGAAAATACACAGATACTTTGGTAACTTTTTTGCAAAATGCTTACATTTAAATAAATGAGCTATTTTATTGAACACAGAATTTTGCAAATAAAACATGAACATGTAATATTTTAAATGGTACCAAAAAAGATTGTACAAAATGTCTAATATATACATACATAATATGTCCAGTTTTCACAATGTGTTAATGTGCCCAGAACACAGCCTGCACATTTTGGTAGAATTTCCACTTGAGTCTTAATGAAAATTGTTCAACTAATCTCCACCTTTTTCAATGATTACAACATTATAAAAAAAATGGTTTTTTTTAAAGAAAACTGTGTTAAAATTAATTTTACATTTGAAATAATAACAATTGATTCTGGCTTGCATATAGGTATCTACATATATACATGCATATATCGTATTTCAAGACATCTGATGGAGATTTAAAAGTGCTGGTGAGATAAAAATAGTTCCATGGTCAGACAAAGTTCTAAATATGGATCAGTCAGACAGAACATTCCACTGGTTCCCATGGTGACTGCTTCACTTTTACAATTTTGTCCACAATTTATTCTTCCCATTGAACCCATATATGTTTCTATATGTTAAGTAGTTAAAGCATGATAACCCTTTGGGGCATAATTAGCGGTCATAATTTTTTGAATCACTGCCGAAATATAAAGCACCACATTTATAGACAAGTAATAGGAGATGAAGCAACGTTTGCCTAAAGCAGCATATCGCAAGTGTCTGGCATTTTAAGAGTTAAGTTAAAACGGAATGGTTACACCAGAATTTTTTTTTTTTGCACAATGACATAGCTACCAAAAAGTGAGCTTTTGATCGTGATATTCATTTTTTTATTAAAAAAAAAGCTCTTGTTCCCGTTTTATCCCTTTACATACCAGGCATTTCAGGGCACAGCATGTAAATTAGATTAACCCCTGCAATGGCGCGCGCCTGCGTAGACTCATCTGAAGGAATTTTAGAGAGTGTAATGTATCTGTGTAGATATCCCAGCACGCCCTAAACTTATGGTGTTTAGTCACTCACAAGGCAGAAAAGACTACATTATTCACAAGAGCAGTGACCAATCAGCTTTAAAAGCAGGCAGTTGTAGGGCAGCCTTGACAGTTATTGCTCAGAGTATAAACCTCAAACGCATACATATATATATTTATTTTTGCATTATGTTATAATATTCTGTCATCTCCATGGCATTGCTGTAAGTTTAACAATTATGGAAAAGTCGTTTACATTTCTCACAGCTACACCTTAACACAGGTTTGATAGTCCCTTCTTTTATCATGATGGTAAAATCAAAAACTTGCCGTTTACTTAATTACATTTAAAGATTTAGATTAGCACTTACTGAATTTTGTTGGCCATGGAGAAATGTACTACGTTTTTAAACCAGCGAGAGGTTTAAGGTGCAATAAGGACAAATCTAAACAACGTTCTCATAATAAAAATGCCATAGATATAACACATATATTATACATTTGATATGCTAACAAAAAAAAAATCACTGTATGCGTATCTACGTTGAACCTCCTTAAAATGCACAAAATGCGACCTGTGAGATCAAGGTCATCTTACAGGCTCTAACCAAGTTACCGCCTTAAACCTACAGAACCTTGTATGGTAGGTAGATGGGTAATGAAGGCACCTTGTAATAGAAGGTGGGTGAGTATGTAAGGCACCTTATATGGTAGATGGGTGGGTAACTAAGGCCCCTTGTAATACTAGGTGGTTGGGTCATTAAGGCACCCTGTATGTTAAGTGGGTAGGTAACTAAGGCACCTTGTAATACTAGGTGGTTGGGTCATTAAGGCACCCTGTATGTTAAGTGGGTAGGTAACTAAGGCACCTTGTAATACTAGGTGGTTGGGTCATTAAGGCACCCTGTATGTTAAGTAGGTAGGTAAGTAATGCACCTTGTAAGGTAGGTGGGTGTGTAATTAAGGCACCTTGTGACAGCTAATCCCCCCTCTTGTAAGACTGCTCCTGTATAAATGAATGGTACAGAAAGTTAATGCCCCTCTCACTATATAGGTCAATGCATATACTGTAAGGAGTTATATAGTTATAGTCAGGCCATCACCTTGTCCATTGTGTTAACTTCTTCAGACATCGCTCCCAGTCTGCAAGGACACCAAATGCCCTCAGTTCATCCCAGGTCATCCCAAGCAATGTTAGGTCATTGTCACCTGGCATGGATGTGGATCAGTACTGAGCATCCTGAGAAAGCTGCTGTGAGGGAGCCCATGTCTGATAACAGGGAAATAGACTGTCAGTGCAGATAGAGAGACCCAGAGGAGGAGAGGGCAATGCCAGTGAGTTCGTGGTTGAGTGCTCTCTCCAGCAGTGAGTGTCCCAGGTCTTTGTCTACACGTAGTTCTTCTTGTCGTAGTCCCCGTTAGCAGTGAGGGGTCTCCTGGGGGGTGCATACTTTACAGGCATGCTGCCTTGTCCTTTAATCTGGCAGGAGGTGCACAGCAGGATGCCGCCGAGTAGCAGCAGGGCAGTGGCAGCCCACCCCACGTACAGCGCTGCCCCCATCTCCCGCTTCTTGGAGGGGGGGACGTGGGGGTCGAAGAATTCCCTGATTACGATGTTGGCGATCCAGCAGAGAGGGATGAGCACCAGGATTCCACACACGATGTAAATAATGCCTCCAGCGAACACCACTCGGGTCTTCAAGCTCTTGCCCTGGAAGCAGGTGGTGCACTGGGCGCCCACCACGGTGACCAGCAGCCCGATGAGCCCCACGATAGAGGCCAGCACGGTGAGAGCCCTGCCAGCCTGCAGCTCCGGGCTTAGGGCTAGGATGGAGTCATACACCTTGCACTGCATCTGGCCGGTGCTCTGCACCACGCAGGACATCCACAGACCTTCCCAGATCGTCTGAGCCACCACGATATTGTTCTCTATGAAAGCAGAGACCTGCCACATTGGCAGCCCACACGCCAGGATCACCCCCACCCAGCCCAGGATGCACAGAGACAGAGCCAGGATCTCCAGGGCTTCAGATGCCATCTCCAGGTCCAGTCAGAGCTAGTGGCTGCTTTGTCCAAGGTAGGTCTGGGAGTTATGAGTCTGCGCTGCTCGGGTTGCTTGTTCTGGTTTCGGAGGTCTGATGACTCCCTACTGGTCGCAACGTTCTATTGCAGAGCTCAGGAGTCTTCACGTTCGAAGAACAGAATCTGTCAGCAGTATGGGTCCCAGAGATGGAAGTGTTCTAGTCTTCTCTATAGAACAACACTAGCAGAACTCAGAAAGTCTTTTCTGCTTAGCTCCTCTGGACTCTGCTTGCAGGTAGCTGGACAGGACTCTGAGCTGCTCAGCCTCTGGTCGCCTAATAAGTAGCTCTCCAGCTCCTGGTCCTCCTTCCCCCAGGGACACTGCAAGAACCAATCAGGAGCTGCTGCATCCTGTGCTCTCCAATGACAAGCCTGGGGGGGACTGATGGGGGAGATCTTAGAGTAGTGACTAATTGTGGAAAGAAATATCAGGAAAGGAAGGGCTGGAAGGGAGCCAGGGTTTAGGGGTAGGAGAGCACCTGCCCTCAGCGAGAGAAGGGGCTGAGAAAAGAAAGAAAAACACTGGGAAGTAATGGAAGGCTGAAGAAACATTGTATGTTGGAGAACGTACTGTGCTGGGACACATCACACAATAAGTGCTGCTAGTTCGTATACCGTGACAGGATCTGCAGACTGGGAAACGACACGAATGGAAACCCGGTATCCAAACAGATCGAGTGCGTTCTAAACGATTTAACCCCCTGGGCACCAAAAAAACACCCCGACCGATTCCTTCACTGGTATGAAACTGTGATATTATCCAGGAGATGATCAAACACGAGACAAAATATGTTTAAACCAAAAAACAAATGCTTTGCAAAGTGTCATATAAATGGCTTCAATTCGCCTTTTCACTAGCATCAATTACATTGCCAGTTTGGCAAATGTGTTTCATAGTGTTACAGAAATTAAACTCGTTTGAGGATTAAGTAAAACTGATTTTTGTAGGAGCCAGTACAGGGGAAGCCAGCAAGCTAACATTAGAATTAAACCATTTATCCTGAGAACAACCACAAACTGTATTCTTAGGCTACACTAATCTAAAATAAAACTATATCAGTTATGGACAGCCTGTCAAAGAAAGATTACTTGGGAAGTTGGGACACTGTAGTTTCTGTTCAGAACTCATAAATAGATCAGCCAGCCAAAGGTAAATCCAGCAGTTTATTCACCATACAGTAAATTGTAATGAATTAAAACGAATTTCTAAATTCTGGATAAAACAAACAAGTTATGCCAATAGAAGAGTTGAATACATTTTTTAAAACACATGCTAGTATACACATTATAATTCGGTATTCGATGTCTCTACAATTCGATGATTAGTGAATATACCTCAATGCTAACATTTCAGTAGTAGACAGTAGTGGGACCAATGTTTAGGAAGCAGGCTTTAAACTAAAGACATGTAGCTTTGTCAGGAATTCCAAATGCTTTTCAAATTCAAGGCTAAATAGCAGAAATCATATGAAAACATTGCTGGCTTGGAGAAATTTCCAAGTTCATTAATGTGCATTAAAATATAAAATATGAATTTCTGACAATTTACAGTTTATTGATAGTGATGTCCCGAACGGTTCGCGAACGGTTCGCCGCGGACTCCAGTCAGCAGACACATTCCAGCCAATCAGCAGCAGACCCTCCCTCCCAGACCCTCCCACATCCTGGACAGCATCCATTTTGAAGCTGAATTCTTAGTGAGCTGTCCTTTCGGCGAACCGTTCGGGACATCACTATTTATTGAATATCCACATCACTGTTACTAAAATTCCAAATATCTAGTAAAAGAAGATGAGTTTCATATCATTGTCCCCTACTGAATGACACAAGCTATAAAAATCATCAAATAATTTAGAGAAATTAACTACATACAAGGTGCATGTACTAATATATAGCACATATAATACTGATGATAATTAATGGCATAGGGAGGAGTTGTACATTTCATAAATGCATAAATATATTCACAAATTAAAACAATCTTAGCACTTTGGTAATTCTCACAATAGAAATATTCAGTACTGTGTTATATGATCATGCTATTTCCTGCCAGTGATTTCTTCTGCACACATTCCTTTACGATCTATTGCAATGGTGTAATTATATATTCTTTGTTCATTTTTAGCATACAAATCATCATTTTGTGTAAAATTTAACGTGTGTTTTAAAAAAATTTTTTTTTAGAATTTTTTATTTTTGCTGTGCACATATAACAATACAAGCTTGCCTTGCCACAACAGCATCATTAGTATTACATATAATAGAAAACAGTGTGGCTTCCAGGAGACAGCACATTTTTTGTAGTTTTAGTATGAGAGTGTGCATTAGTAGTAATCAGCAGAGGAGTTTAAGGTATGTGTTAGGCTTGTCATCTGTGTTTGTAGTAAAGCATAAGGTGAAAGACACAGGCTATTAGTTAAATAGTCCAACATGCTAAAGAGTGCTGCTTCAAAATAGATTGTGTCATAGATTGTTGTTGGACTGTCTGCATTATCCCCCTAGGAGGCCCCCCGAAAGGTAGGAAAAGGCATTAATAATCGATAGCCGAAAAATAGTTTGTTGGCTATCAGGAGTACAGGTATAATAATAATAATAATAAAAGGAAAAAGAATAGGAAACAATCAGAGCTTATGAGGTCATTAGTCCAAAGAGTTCCACCATACAGCTCAGCTCAACCTATGCCCTCAAGGGGCAGAGCACAGTCCAGCATTATTGAGAGATGCCGTGGGCTTCCAGGCTTTGGAGTGGGTCATATGACAAAGCCACTCACCAGGGTTGAGGTCCCCATCACCACCTCTGGTGCGTCGGATGGCCCAAGGCTAGGCAATGCCTGCTCACGTTGTGCCTGCAACTGGTGCGATGGATGCCGCTTCACTCGCTGCCATTTTGGGGCCTTTCTCATAGCCGCAGCCACGGACTGCTGTTGCAGGATTGGAATCCACCTAGGAGGTGAGCATCCTGTCGGCTGCTGTGGGGCCTCTTGTTGTATCCTTTGCTCCAGCTTCAGCCAGTTTTGAAAGATTATATCCAACCTTGACTTGAGATCAGGCTTTTCTTCGGGTAGGTCAGGGAGCCGCAGTGGCGTCCGCCATTTTTGGTTCCTTGCTCATGTTTCCATCAGCCCCTCGAGTGCCTGTAAGGGCAGGGTAGCCTCCCTGGGGTGGACCGGATCACACCCGCCTGGCACAGAGAGGGGGGTAATGGGGGACCCACACAATGTGGAACGCTGCAGGGTCACTCCGGGCTGGGAGATTGGCCACCTCTCCCACCTGATGTATTCCAGGCCGCATGCTCCAAACTGTGCTTCAACTTTACCCTCAATACCTGCAGGGTATGTCACCTAGTGCAATCTACATGTAGGTTGCTGGGTTCGATGTATATCGAGTTGTGTGGAGCTGCAAATTGCTTAAATTGTCAGTATAGGAGAGGAGCTCGCTCAACGCACGTCTCTCCACCATGACAGTCAGGCCCGGCCCCCCAACGTGTGTTTTTAAAAAAATAAAACCGGTTATTGCAATGAACTAAATCTTTTAAGTCACTTAAGATTTACAAGGATATTTCATTTATCTATATAAAATAATAACAATAGACAAATTAATAAAACAACCCCACAACACTGCTTTATTGTATATATATCATGCATCTCAACAATGGAAGATACAACGTTACAACATAGGTAGTGGGCCAGTAAGGGTCATGTCCTTTACCAACTCAAGAACTGGGTATCTGGAACACCCACTGAGGACTGGAGATGCACTGAGCATTGCTGAACCACTTGTGATCTGAATTAGATGATTAGGTGCTTCTCTCATTACAACATTTACTATGAGCAAAAATTACTTTAGAGCTTGGAGTGCCCCTATTTAACAGGATTATTATGACAGGAATTCAAAAGAATTTAAAATTTAACACCAATAAAGCTGATCTGGAGAGCATAGCTGATTTGGAGATTTTTTTACCCCCAGTTTATCTACTTTATTCCTTAATTGGGTACTCACTTTGAATTGCTGATACTTCTCACTGTCACTCTGTGCCCTAATCCAAGTGTGATTGTGACTTGGTTTTGGTGGTGAAAGTGCCTCACTATAGTGAGTAACCCCATAAGAGTATGGATAGGGGCATGGTATGTTGTTTTTAACAACAACTGGTTAAATGCAAGAGTGACTATGTGCAAGAAAATATTCTGTTTGGTAATATATGTCAATTTATGTAACCCAGAAATTGTATAAATTCCGAGTATGAAGTACCCTTATCCAGATCATGTATTGATCCAGCCTTGGACATCAAAAGAGTTTGTTCTGCAATAAACCACTCAAACAGATCTCAATGTTTTCTCTTGACTGTGTGTTTGGGGAAAGAATATTACTAACAAAGCTATAAAAGGTATTTATCATGCTAGAGTGGAGGGTTGTTGGTGTTTAGTTTGTTTCTACACGAAGAATAGTTACCATGCAGACAAATAGTGATATCCCGAATGGTTCGCGAACGGTTCGCCGCGGACTCATCATTGAGTAAACTTTGACCCTGTACTTCACAGTCAGCAGACACATTCCAGCCAATCAGCAGCAGACCCTCCCTCCCAGACCCTCCCACCTCCTGGACAGCTCACTAAGAATGTAAAATGGATGCTGTCCAGGAGGTGGGAGGGTCTGGGAGGGAGGGTCTGCTGCTGATTGGCTGGAATGTCTCTGCTGACTGTGAGGTACAGGGTCAAAGTTTACTCAATGATGAGTCCGTGGCGAACCTATCGTGGCGAACTGTTCGGGACATCACTACAGACAAACCATAAAACAGTAACACACAAAAAGTAAAAAAGCCATAATAATAATAATAATAATAATAATAATAATACACAAAGTATGGTTAAAAATAACACAAGATACATTTTTAAAGCTCTTTTTCAAGTTGCATCTTGAGGATTCCAGTCTGCAACTAACTCATTAGTTGGGAAAAGACAACACCAAATGATGGAGTATTTTTTCAGTTTTGTTTTGATATATTGCCAAAGTCATGCTAGAACTTCAAATACTGTTATAAATACTGCAAAGTAACTAAGTAAATAAAATATACTATCCTTTAAAGTTTTACTCTGTGCAGTGTTTAGTAGGTTCATCTGTAGCTTCAGCCAAACATCCCTTACACAATGTAGAAAATCTTAACCCCAAGAGCAGTTCCACTGATCACTTATTAAGGATGAGTGGGACAGCTCTGTAAACTGATAGAGGCCATACCATGACTGCTATCAGTTTATACTAGTCTGGTTCATTGTTTGGGCTGTTTGTGAAATATCTCCAATCTGCCAGAGATATTGCTGCTTAGGATAACCAGTTCATGTATTCTATAGAAAGACAATAGTTCACATTAAGTGAAAGACTAAACAGTATTTCAAAGACAGTGAACATAGAACACATAAACCAGTATCCCTGCATAGTACACGCTAGTACAACAATACAATTATAAATGCTACAGCATATCTCCAACTGCTTATACTGCTCTCCCAAAACACAAAATAATAGATTCAGTAGAATATGGGTAAGATGTACCAATCTGTTCTGTTCATCATAAGAGCACATCATGGGAGTCCCAGTCCTTGTAACATAAGTGCTATATTTCTCTAATTTTGCTTGTTTTGAGTATGGGGTCTTGAAGTTCATTATTATTATTGGCATTTATATAGCGCCAACTTATTACGCAGAGCTTTACAATACTATGAAAGGGGGGAATTTAAAGGACCACTATAGTGCCAGGAAAACATACTCGTTTTCCTGGCACTATAGTGCCCTGAGGGTGCCCCCACCCTGAGGAACCCCCTCCCGCCCGGCTCTGGAAAGGGGAAAAGGGGTTAAACTTACCTTTTTCCAGCGCTGGGCGGAGAGCTCTCCTCCTTCTCTCCTCCTCTTCTCCTCCTCCTGGGCTGAATGCGCACGCGCGGCAAGAGCTGCGCGCGCATTCAGCCCGTCGCATAGGAAAGCATTTACAATGCTTTCCTATGGACGCTTGCGTGCTCTCACTGTGAAAATCACAGTGAGAAGCACGCAAGCGCCTCTAGTGGCCGTCAATGAGACAGCCACTAGAGGATTAGGGGGAAGGCTTAACCCATTCATAAACATAGCAGTTTCTCTGAAACTGCTATGTTTATGAAAAAATGGGTTAACCCTAGCTGGACCTGGCACCCAGACCACTTCATTAAGCTGAAGTGGTCTGGGTGCCTAGAGTGGTCCTTTAACAATAAATGAGACAATTACACAGTGACACAGGAACAATTGGTAGATGAGGACCCTGCTCAGGCAGGCATGGTGTCTGCTTTTTTGTGATATTATTGTGGAAGAAAAATGTTACAAACCCTAGTAACAATAGTACGTACTGACGTGTAGAGTACTATAATCATAGATTTTGCAATGCTTGGTTTTCTTACATCAGCAATTTAACCGACCATATTGTGTCTAAGGAAAAACATAATGCCAATCTGGAGGTGAGTTTTTTGACAGTACTGACTAAGAAAGTTGCAAAGCTGAAAACATATTGTATAGTTAAAAAAGTTGCTTATTAGGGCAAGCCACTGCTTACAGAAGACATTGGCCACCCTTATAGAAATGAAAAATATTACTAAACTGCTATTGCATAACCTGTAAATTAAGTTCATTAGGTGTCTGGAGAATGCATGAATGCAACTACTAACCAGAGGATTCCTTAACAACTTAATTAATGGGGGGTTGACAACCTGCATCTGTATCTGATAAACCAGATTCTCATGAACCGCTTAGTCAACAGTTCGAAAGAAAAATGAAGGTTGTGCTTGCTAAAGGTTAGTCACCAAAGCGTGAACTGTTGGGAAGTGAAAGTGATGTAGTCCAGAATTGTAGAACTGAAAATACAGCTGACTTTAGCAGGAGTTTCCCAATTCAGTTGTTTTAAATCTGAAATTCAAATTTGCTCAAATTCTAATGGATTGGTTTAACAAACAAAAGCAAAAAAACATTTTCTTGTTTCTTAACTTGGACAATTTTTCTAGTTTTGCTATGTTGGCCAAACATTTGCAATTCCCTACAGAACCCCAACAACTATCAGTTTAGTGACTAATCCTGAGAGTTCCTTTGGAGGCTGAAAAATTACCCACTAGTCCTTGTTTTGCGGCCATGCTTTATTCGCTATGACAGGAAGTACGCAGATCAAGATTCCAAGGCCAAAATCTTCAGAGACAGTTCTATTGACACTCTGGCCTGAAGAAAAACAAAGAAAAGGAATCCTTGATGCTAACACATAACAAAGGTGGTATGGTATGTAAGAGGGGAAGCTACCTTTTGTCCTTTGTTATATTTCAATGGATAGACCTATGGACAGTCAGTAGCAGCGAGGCAAATAGTATCCGGACACATGTGGCAGATACATACGCATCTCCTCATATTTGGCATGGATACATTGGACAACGTTGAATCAACTGGAAAATTATAATATGAAACATACATATTACACAAATATTGCACACTTCCTGATTTGTTTGTTTTTGTTTATTTTTTTTTACATCCGGACATTTGGTACATCGTGGTCTTATTACATTCAAGTTATTTATATCCAATCTACAGAAGCTTTTGTGTCTATAACCCTCAGACCACAGCTTCGTCAAACCATCAAGAGGGGGAGGTCGAAGGAATGTGTCAGAAAAACCACCGCTAGCCGTGCAAAGTCTGCACATATCTAAACACTGCGGATAAGTGATGTCAGAAAATATTCCCAGCATTATGTCACTTGTTTTACTGTGTTGCTTAACTTCTTCAGCTAGTAGCTATGTCAATGTATATGGCCCGTTTTTAAAGAATTTGGTTCATCTCAATCAAAACGTTCTATTTGTGTACATCATATAGACAAAATTGTTATTTGAGAATTTTGACCGGATATTTTATGTACTACACTACAGGCTGTAAAGCACATCTCATTTCTCATCTTAGTCTCTATGGACATAACTGGACAAAGTGCAGCCTATATGGGCCAACTGGTATTTATCTTTTGCAAAAATCTGAGTTTTAATCTCTAAAATCCTTGTCTATTCATACAGTATACTTGCATTGTGAAATGTAATAGATTAGTTATATAGTCAAATTGGTGAAACAGACAGCAGAGCATTGTGTCATGGCCAGTGGAGTTTAAATATCACTGTATTCACCTCATAACAACATGGAGGCCAGAACATCATTCACTCTAACAAGGACTTGAACATGCATTCCATGCTGCCAATTCAGTAGAGTCTTATCTGCCTTCCTTAGATATTTTGAAGGTATTGGCGTGAGTGTTTTTAGACTTGCTATGGGGGGAGTGACAGATAGTATGCATTTAGGAATGGGTAAAGACTAACGTGGATGAATTAGAAGCAGATATAGAAAGGCAGGTTGGCAGCTAGTAGAGTTGGACGTTGCTGCTGACATAAATGGGTGAAGAGATTAGCACTAATTAAGGGGACAGCTACAAGGAATGAGAGGATAGTAGATGACCTAAATAGGTAGAAGCTAGCATTAAGGAGGGGTAGGAGGGCTGACACGGACAGGTGTGTTTTGCTGCTGTGAATGAAGAGTGTGAATTTACATGGAGACGCCAATAAATCAATATGAGATCTGTAAGAAAATAAGGGACAGAGAATAGAATTGAGTAAGGGTGAAAACATTGATGGTACCTGTCATGAAAAAGAGGGTTGGTTATTCTAAAGGGAATCTACCTCGAAAGGATGAATGGTAGTTAGGATGATTGGCAGGTGGAGATGAAATAAAGGATACTGTGAGGGACAATCGACATGAAGGGATGGATGGTACCTGGCAAAAAAAAGAGGCGAGAGAAGAGTTGGAGAAGCTAGGAACTAGCACTTCAGCCATCCTTCACAAGTGAATCCTACAGATGGAAGACAGAGTTTGCTGGTGTGGATGTACAGATGAGTATATAAATACTTTTTTTCATTACATTTGCTCTGAAGGTTGTGCTTCTTCATCATTCCACAGTTCTGCTGTCCATGTTGTAAAAATCCTTGGCTATCAGCCTTTTTAATGCAACGAAGTTCCTTCCATAATTCAGGAAAATGTCAATTCAAAGTCCACTACACAACTGTGTTTGTAAAGTTGAACATGTAAGGCTAATAGATGAGCTAATATAGTCACCCTGGAACCTATTTTCTTCTTTCCAGAGTTCCTCGACTCCCTACAATACTCGAGTGATTGATCATTTCACACCCACATGGTCTGGCCATTCATTACACATCAGTATTTTCTGGATTCGTTAGATTCTACCAATTTGGATAACAGGCTCTTTTATGTTTCTCTTGCTCATTCTCAAGTGTTGCTTGTGCCAAATCCCTCCCTATCTATAATTTTGATAAACTGACTCATTATACTTTGAGTTGTACATGGAATTTTACTGGCATTGCGAGCCAATAATACTCTTAACATGTAACACAACCAAAACCAGCAAAGGGATGACTGAAGTTGGTACCGTTTTCTCACACTTCAAAGTCCTTGATTTGACAAGTCCTTCCCAAATCATTTTATTTCCATTCTGCCCTCACTTGCTCATATTCATTTCCTGATGACATCTTCCAGATCCTAATATCTTCCTTCCTGGGTAAGCCCAACAATTCCTGTGTTTAGAACATTCTGAAATAAGAAAATAGTTTTCTTTTACTTGACAGATCCAACATTTATTTTCTTCTGGCT